CCCAAATATACTGCAACGAATAGGCTGTGTACTCTTGATGGGGGAATTGTGTGGGTCAAAGTGACCTTCAACAATGTGACCTTCACCATCTGAGCAGGGACTCCAGGGCAGGTCCAGTCCCCAAGGAACTCTGCTGGGGTCCCATGAACATTTCCTGCCTACCAGCTTCCCAGGATAGGACGGCAAAGAACTCTTCGAGAAGGAAGAGTGGGTGCTTTCCCCAGGGGACCTGAGCTCTTAGGCTCCAAGTTGGGTGATTCTTGGAGTCAGGTGCAGGGCTCTCAGAGGCTCTCCAGGGCTGCTGACCCCCAGGACCCTAGGCAGTATTCTGCATGGAGATGGGAGGGGGCATCTAAATAAGTCATTCTGGAAGGAGATGCCAGGCAGGCAGCCTGGCTCACAGGGCCCTGGCCTCCAGCCATGTGGCTATGCCATGGGAAAACATCCAGCCCCCTCTTTAATCTTGGCTTTTCCAGCCAGTGTCCTCTCCTAGTGGATCCCACACCCCTCCCTCCTCCTATGCCTGCTCCCCTCCTCCTCCCTCCTGCCACTCCCCTGCCTACCCTTCCACCTGTGTGTGTGTGGGATACATGTGTAGTTATGTACATGCTTATGTTCTTAGCTGTGCATGTATGGATATGTGGGTGTGTGCACATGTGCATGTGTGCATGTGTGTCCATGTATTTAGCTGAGTATTTATGCATGTTTGCACATGTTTTCTGGCTCATTACAAGCCAGGGGAGTAAGTCTACTCATCATTGGTAAGAGTCAGGTAACTCTGAATCTCAAAATACCCACACACATCCCTTCCAGGGATGGATTTATGAACGCAGTTCAGAACCTGCAAATCTCACTCTGGTGGCTCTGGGATGTGCCATGACCCCCTACTTTCTGGCTGGAGGAGCTGGTGGCCGAGGATGTGGGGTTAGGCCAGCCCTGGACGCAAGTGGCTGCCCAGCTCCTCTTCCTGCCTCCTGGAGGGCCTCCACACTGGCTAGGAGGAAGGCAGCCCAGCTTGGGGCGGGGGTGGGGTGGGGGGAGGAGGGAGGGATAGGAGGTAGAGGAAGCTGCTCTGAGCCCCAGATGGGTGCAGCTGTCATGCATGACTGAGCTCAGGACGGTCCACACAGAGCGAGGCCCCAGCTGCGCGCCATGTGCTCCCTCCGCAGCCCAGCTGCAACCGGGCTGCTTCTTTAGCCAGAAAAGGCAGGTGGGTTTGCTCAGGCGGGACAGCACCTGGGATGTCTGCACCTGTCTCTCGCTGGTGCAGATTTCCTCCCCACCTCCCCCCCCCGCCCCCCCCC